TGCGCAATGTTGTGATGTAAGCCACCTCTTCAAGTTCCAGCTAGTCAAGCATCGGGTAAAGCGAATGTATGCTTGTCCATGGAACCACCAGCTGCATAAGCGCCAAGTTTTTCTACGTTAATAAGTCCACAGGTCGGCCGCTCAATTACGTTAATATGTCCGGCTTGAAAAAGGACCATATGTTCGTTCGATAGCTTGTTGCGTTGGGTGCGTAGAAGAAAGAGACGTAAGACTGTATATCGTGAACTTGTGTAATTAATCAAAATTTACATATGTACATTGCAAACATGTTTAACGTGCGGTTGTTACAAAAGTCTAAGTATATAAGCAGTACATTATAAATCCCTTTTGAAATGGTCACTGTGTAGAAACGTCTCTCATTGGCGGAACACATATCACGTCATTTACACGTGCGTTGATTGGTGCGTAGACAGTCTGTCTAAAGTAACATAAAGAAAATTGATAAGTAAATAAATTATATTTAATGATACTGCATAAAATATAATTCAACATTATAAACACCGATATTTAATAAGAAAGTTTATGAAGGATGACTGCTACCACATTTGTGATTATTAATAATTTCGGTTACGAGAAAGTCGTGATGAACTTTCCAAACGGCAAGACAGGTGCTATGCAGAGTTTATCACATTATCATAATTCATTTTTAATGGAAAATAAAATATAACGAGTCTAGAAAACAATATGATTAGAAACGTCGAAGTGGGGTCTCTAGTAGTAGTTTAATTGCTGCAGTAGGAGCCAGGATGGCTTTCTGATCACACATAAACGCGATCAGGCCGCAACATAAAGTAATTTGGGCGGGGGGAAGCCTGGAGGCTTGACCCCCGGCTAACTAGGTGCTGTGTCAATCCGGGAGGGGTCCTGAACTCACATGGTCCGCGTCCTCCACAGAGTGGGGCGCCTGAGGCCAGCCGTCTGGGTGAAGCCGTTTCCCTAAGAATCTGAAGATAGGAAGGGATTTTCCACCCCATTACTAAAAAAGACATGACAAAAGCGTATTTTTAGTTTTTTTTTCTCAACGTAGGAAAATGTTGCAAGAAATTTTATGTAGACATGTTTGAAAATTTTAATTTTTGTTAGCTAATTTTAAATGCTAATAATATAATTTATACCATGGCAGCCTTGTCATCATCACTTTCCCTTGGTGATTCATGATTATATAAACGATATCGTTAAGATGTGTGTGGATCATATAGAAGAAAAGAAGTGGATAATATTTCATTACAGTCGAGTCATATTTGTCAGCCATGATTCCTAGGATGCTATTGTTACTGTCCCGCACTCTTCTTAGCAAAGAGGCGGTACGCTTGCGTATGATGGCATGGAAGCCGTCAACTCTCACTTCCATAAACATGGTAGAAGCACTACAGTAGCGGGGCAACCTCAATAACATTCTAAAGCCATTATTATACTGAACGCGTAATGTGTCAAGAGACCTCTGGGTACAGCTGACCCATAGGCTGCTCGTGTAGAAGTTTTAACAATACGCTTTAAATAATGTTATTTGGATTTCATTACTACAACGAGCAAACCTACGGGCCAGCATATTACCCCTAATCGCCATTGCCCTACGCTCCGTTCAATATCCTTTTAATCGTCAAGACTTGGAGTAACAAATTGTATCGAAATATAAGTCAATGACATCGCTGTAGTGATTCACTACCTTACACATTCTTGCAAAGAGAGAATTGGAACCAAGAACTGTTCTTCTCAGCGGGGAACAAAGTGGCGCGACTGGGCTGCGCGGGAGTCTGGATGGAACGCGAAACTTAAAAAGGGCTACCAACTGAGGACAGTCAATTTTCTGGTCTAGAATTTTGTACGCGAACATTGCATCGTTTAGGCTTATACGTCTTGCTAGGGATTTTATTCCAAAGTGCCTCATTCTGCCTTCGTAAGAGCGTATTTTTTTGGTGATGCCATTGGAGAATGCAATGTGACAGAGAAATCTCTTTTGTACACGTTCAAGTCGCAATGAGTGTACAGCATAATGCGGCCTCCAGACTGTGCTACCGTATTCCAATGTGCTTCGAACTAAACTATTATACAGCTTAATTTTTGTTTTGTTATTGCGAAAAGCTTTACAATTTCTTAAAACAAATCCTAACATTTTTGATGCCTTTTTAATGATAGTATCTAAATGCGGTTCAAACGTCAATTTTTTATCAAATAGAATTCCTAAATCCCGAATAGTGTCAACTTCATTTATTTTGTCATTATCTATATAATATTTAGAATTTATGTTATTCAGTTTTCGCGTAAACTTTACATGATAGCATTTTCCACAATTTAAATACATTCTGTTGTTTTTGCACCAACGCATAAGCCTATTAAGGTCACCCTGTAAATCCATAACATCATCATTTGATTCTACTTTCCTAACGAACTTTAGATCATCTGCATACATGAAGACTTCAGAGAACTGGAAACAATCTGGGATGTCATTGATAAAAAAATTAAATAACGTAGGGCCCAAATGTGAGCCTTGGGGGACTCCTGAAGAAATGCGATGAAGAGTTGATTGATATCCATTCACTACCACAAAAAAATTCCTATCCTGTAAATACGAGTTCAACCATTCGAGCAACGAACCATTAATGCCATAAGCGTGCAATTTGGAAATTAAAATGCTATGGGACACTTTGTCAAAGGCTTTGCTGAAGTCCGTGTATATGACATCAGCTTGATGTCCTGAATCCACAGTTTTTATTAAAAGTTCAGTAAAAGGGACTAAATTAGTACTTGTGGATCTAAGTGCAACAAATCCATGCTGACGGTTGCTAAGATATAGCTTGAGGTGCTTTTGTAAAATTGGACAAACCAAAGCTTCAAAAATTTTTGCAAATGACGATAATATTGAAACCGGCCTATAGTTAGATATATTTTCTGCACTTTCTGATTTAAAAATTGGAACCACTTTTGCCACTTTCCATTTTGTGGGAAATACTCCGGTAGATAATGACTTATTGTAAATGAGCATAAGTGGATTAACCAATTGAGATGCACAAGATGAAATAAATATTGGTGGAATTCCGTCAGGTCCAGCTCCTTTCCTACTATCTAAACTTTTTAATTTTTTAAGTAATGTTTCGTAGTTAATATAAGGACTATTTAAACATAACTACTACGACTATTTAACATGTATCTTCAGATGTTTACCAAGTTCCCAAACTAGCACACTGTAGAACACTTTAGACACCATTGCTAGATGCTAGATGAGAACCAGCAAACTTTAGGTGTTCAATACTAAGCCCGTCATGCCCAGACGACTTACCTCTTGACATGCTACATATATACGTACGACGTACTTGGTTAGCGGGGACAGTAAAAACATCACCGGACATTACGTGCCCCGCATTCACACTCATACTCAGAGTAGAAGGACCGAGTGGCGATTTCACAGTGAAATATTATGACCATCTATCTATACCTGCTCTTTATTATCTTGACACTACTTTGATTTTCTTTGAAATGTCTTTCTACTTTCACACATGTTATTGTAAGCTGTACCCGAGCGCGGCCTATCTTGAGGGACCCAGTGTAAAAATTTAAGCCTGGCCTCCCTATATACCTGTTCCAGCCTGTTACATGACGGTTATTTTTACAAGTATTTTTACTGTTATGACTTAGTTTTACCGAGTCGGTTAGTGCACTTACTATATCACTGTAAAATTTGTCTAATCTATGTTTATGTTCTAAACAATTGCAACTAGAACAACTAGAACAAGAGTTTCTGCACTCTTCAGGCAAGTCTATCAACTTTAATTTACTGTGACATCGATCATGATATTTTTGTATTTGTTTTTTTTTACCCCATATGACTTTATTTATGGTGTTACTATACAAATTCGATCTAATCTTACAAACAATTCCGTTTAACTGACACTCAATAACAAGCGGCAGATGATCAGACCAAAATGTAACACATCTAACAGATAGATTTGTTATTGTTTGCCTAGCCGAATGACTAACAACGCAGTGGTCAAGCCACCGCGTACACTCGTGCACGTCACTAATAAACGTGTAATTGTTCGAATTGCTGCCTAGAATGTCTATATCCGCACAAGTGAATTGATTATCCGCACATAAGCTAAATAATTCATCGCCGAACAACTCACCCGGGTGCTTATCAAAATCTGCCAACATAAATATAGCTTCTACTGAGTAATGTTCATCAATAGCACATACCTTACTAAAGCAGTCTGTCAAAACCGGCAGGTTCTCAGCTGAGTTTGTAGGCCTGTAAAGACTAACCACAAGAAAAACGTGACCAACAATTGTCACTTTGATTGCCCTAATACGTGGATTGTTGCACTCAACCACTGACACATCATTAAAAGTATTCTTGCGCTACATTAATTATTAAGGTCGATCTCTAAGTAGCAAGTACCATCCGAGGCAAAATCAGGACAATAGTAAGCAAGGAACGGTTTGTCATGAGAAGGAAGCCAGGTTTGAAGAAAATGTGAAAGGCCTATTTAATTTCTCTCGCATTTAATTGTTAATTGTTGTTTGGATGTATACAGATGGATTGTGAAGTATAAGCACTCTTTATTTTACTTCCCAATTCATCCGCAAAGCAATTGCATCTAAAGCAAAGCAAAGCGGGTCTAGGACTTTAAAACGTTTTTCTTTTTATGTTTTTTTGTTGACGGGGTCTAAAATCCCGGATCTCCGGCCCTTCGAGGATGCAGCAGAATGTGGTATTTTCACTAAAAACCACCCCGAAGGCCGGACTTAGACGCCATACTCTGAGGAGGACCTGGACCATGTTATATCAAGTAACGAACGGATTGACACGGCCCCTAGTAAGACCCTTTCCTGGGAAAGCCGCGGGCTTCCCCCCGAGATCATTTAACCTAGTTATTGTCAGATTTAAGGCACAATTTTTTTTAAGTGTACAAAAATTCATAAACTGTTTATTTCAGTAACTACAATCGATTGAACAATACTTTATAAATTATTTAAGAACTTACTTTATAACAGCGGCTGGTAGAAATATATTCGATAAAACGACACCTGCATACACTGCAGCCAGAGACGCTGTGCCCAAACCTGCCTCTGCGTTGATAGAGCTTTGTAAATTAGAAGTACCCTAAAAAATATACACATGTCTTAAGGGAAGGCAAGAAAGTACAGCTTTAAAATGAAAAAGAGCTTATTAATTATTAAAATAGGACCCAAAATCTAATTAAGTAATGCCGGCTAATTTACAAGTGGCCCTAACTTTCGTTAGGTTTACCTAGGGTTGAAAGCCACAAGAATATCCCTAAAAATTAAATTGCTCACATCCTTTCTCGAAATAGGGCTTAGATATATCTTGAGCAAGTAAAAGAATTCTATGACAACATATCTTAAGATTAAGAAGGAGTCACTGACAAAACATTTTTAGTAGGAATGATTTTCATGATTTGATAATTTTATAGATCCATTCTAAAAGTGAAGTCTGGCAATATAGTTCAACCATCTTTACTAACTCAATTTAACTAGTAGTTAACCTGGACTACATTTTAGATGGAGTTAAATGAAGAACTTTGTTATTTTATTTGATGAATAGTATTCAAAGTTACGCAACTTGATAGTAAATTATGTTTTATATTATTAATGTTTTTAATATTTTTTTGGTTAGCATGTTGAATGTCTTTAAACATTTATCGCTAGATGCACGCTAAATGTGTCTTGCTAGTGACGTTATTTCTGTGGAGTAGGAAGGCACTGCTTTCCAGAAAAAACATCCATCTGTAAAAAGCTGACTAGTCTTAGACGAATATTTGCATTATTTTGAATAAGAATATAGCAAAATTTCTAATACTTACAGCATAGGCTGTGAAATGTAGCATGAATGCCATAGTTATGACGCCCACATTCTTCATGATCCTCCATTTTTCATTCCACTTGAAAGTGTGTTCGAACATTTTAAATTCTTGATTTTGGGGTCTTGCAATGTGAATACGCTACAATTACTTTTTAATTTTGCAGTATAATTAAAAAGTTGTCGGTTTTATTTACAAGACTGTCATATCTCTTTTTAAGTTATATTCCATAGTTTTGCGTCATCATTTGTAGTTGTAATTAATGTACAACTGACGACTGTAACAATGATACACACAAAATAACAAAATACACATACGCAGAGAAATGGCTTAACATAAATTTCTTTTGTTAAAAATCTAAAGATTAAAATGCAACTGTACAATGACAGATCTTTAAAGAAGAGCTAACAGAACATTTTTATTGCGTTAATATTTTATTTGAAAGTCTCTCAAATCCACTTTTCCAGTGTTGTTGCCCATAATTGAACCTATGAATTTCAAAGATACATCGAATAATTCTATTATTTATTCATTTTAATCGTAGTTAATATGAATTCATTATTGTGTTACCTGCTTATCAGCTAAAAGCTCATAAGTTGTTTAGACTTTCATGTCTATATTTATTGCACTTCCATGTAATACGATGCTTTTCACATATATAAAATGGTAGGTAATCTATTAAAATTCAAAAATCTCCTTTTTTACTTTGCAAAATAGAATTTACAACAAGGTACCAATTAAGTGGTGCACCAACTACAAATTGACTAATAGAAAGATATCTTGCACTACGAAGATAATGTGGTTTACTTTTGTTTATTTATCTATGTGCCCATGTGCTATGTTTATGTCATTAGTAAATAAATGATTTAAACATTTATTTGCCAATGGAATAAAAAACATCATTCATCAAACATACATTGTGTAATTTGTGATGCAAAGTGATATTCAAATAAGATATTGTTTGCGAAAGAAACATTGTTCTAAAACTTTTTTATGAACATCTGTAGAGTTGTTGAAATCAATAATTTTAAAAATTGATCTCAAATTAATGCCACCTCGGCTTCGCTCAAGAGTTCACAAAGCATATATTATATGTATGTAGGTTAATTGCAAAAAAGCACTGCATCTTTCAATAGCTAAATTATAAAACGATAACGATTAATAATTAATAAATATACATATAGCAATATACTAAACTGTAAGTCCAAATTGTTACTAACGTTTTTGAGTCTTTGTTACTTCTGTAGAAACACTACGATCGAGTGTTATGGGTTCAATCCCCACATGGGACAACACTTTGTGTAATCCATAGATTGTTGTTCTGAGTCTGGGTGTTCTCTGTGTCCGTTTTATGAATATTTGTAGTCCCTCGCGATACAGGGTTATATAACTAGTGCGGGAGTTGCCTTAATAAAAAAAGAAAAAAAACTCTACAACCATTAATGAAATACATACATTAGTTTTTCAGCTATTGCAACTTTACATAGTTCAACAACAATTGCAAATAATAATGTTTATTGTACATTAAAGAACATAGTCATTCACTGTCATACCATACAATTTACGTGTTCATATCTGTTTGTCTGTCTGTATATAAAAACGCTTTTAATACAAGTTATTTGTAATATAAAGTAGGTATATTTTGCATTATACTTTCTATGGGAGTTCGGAGAATATCGTTAAATAAAAGATTATGACTCCAAAAATAAATAAATAGCTTATCTGAGATATTTATCTAACCGATCCACTTTTAACTTTGAAGTACGGAAGCTCTTTAGAGACTTGTTGTTGTCGGAGTCATCAAAATAACACTTTTAGTGTGTATTAATTATATATTTAAAATATATATTATATTTTGATATTTATATATGTATATGTGTATGTACTATTACCTATATATCAGTAGGATGTTTTCTCCTTTCCTCCTCCTTCATCAACAGCCTTTACTAGTCCACTGCTGGACAACTGCTCAAGGTTCGGGAGCCGGTGGGGGGAAATGCCCCCCAGGCTCCCGTGTCCGTGCAGGAGAGGGCGAAAGCGGCGGTGGCCGTCATCGACAAGGTGGCCACCAAATCCGTGAACCTTAAGGGCTCGTTTGTGAGGGCCCTTAAGGACTCCTCCTCCGCTTTGTCGGAGGTCGTGGAGGGCCTAGCGGGCGACGTCTCTCGCCTGCAGGTGGCCAACGAGAGGCTGACGGAGCGGGTGAACGAGCTGAGTGCTCAGTTCGCCCGCTTCCAGGCGAACCTCCCCGAGCGGGAAGCCCCGTCCGCGTCCCAGCCTGCCCCTACCACCAACTCAGGGGCATTTGACTCCCAACTGCGAGAAATCCTCATCGCAGTTGGGAATATGATGGACGGACGCCTGGCTGGCCTGGAGGCGAGACTGCCCCCTGCGCCGATTATGCGCCCCCCGCTCGCGTCGGCACAGCGGCCTAAGGCCGCCGCTCCGACCGCGCTCCCCGTGGTGGGAGGCCGCGTTTCTTACGCGGTGGCGGCGTCTGCCCCTACTCCATCGGCTCCACAAAGGCCGAGGAGGGGGGCCAAGGCACCGGCCCAGGCGCCGGCCAAGGCACCGTCCCAGGCGCCGGCCAAGGCGCAGGCCAAGGCGCAGGCCAAAGTGCCGGCCAAGACGGGGCCTAAAACGGCGCCGAGGAGCGGAGTGGCATTCCCTCCGCTCCCCACTCCGACACCCCTGCCGGGCCCCTCCGCACCTGCCCCCTCCAACGAGGGTTGGCAGGAGGCGAGGGGCTCCAAGAAGTCCCGAAGGCGGGCCAAAAGAGCTGCCAAAAAAGCAGCCCAAGCCACGCCTTCGCCACCGGTGGCAACGGCCTCCACAAAGAGGCCGCGGAAGCTGCAGCCGCCCAAAACCGCGGCTGTAGTGGTGACCGTGTCCCCGGAGGCGGCTGACGGCGGGTTGTCCTACGCGGCCGTGTTTAAAAAGGCCCGGGACAGCCTCGCCAACGACTTTGGGACGGCGGGGGTGAAGATGCGCCTCGCCCAAACGGGAGCTCGAGTTCTCGAGTTCCCAGGGGCTGAAGGCGCCAAGACGGCGGACACTTTCGCTGAGAGGCTGCGGGGTTTATTCGCGACCACAGATGGTGTCAAGATCGCCAGGCCTACCAAGTGCGCGGAGCTGCGCATCTCGGGCCTGGACGACTCTGTGACGGCCGAAGATGTCCGCGCTGTAATCCGGGAGAAGACGGGGTGCAGCGCGGACAACGTCAGGGTCGGCACCATCCGCCCCGGTCCAGGATAGCTTGGCGCCGTGTGGGTCAGCTGTCCCGTAGCGTCGGCCAAAGTATTGGCCGACGCCGGCAGGCTGCTCGTCGGTTTCGTGAGCGCCAGGATCACAGTCCTGGCGGCGAGACCGATGAGGTGTTACAAATGCCTAGCATCGGGGCACACGCGCGTCAAGTGCCAAAGCTGCTTCGACTGCAGCGGACTTTGTTTCCGCTGTGGTCGACCGGGGCATGTGGCGGTGGAATGCTCTGCCGCCCCTCACTGCCCGGTGTGTGCGGCGGGTAACAAGCCCGCCAATCACCAGATGAGGCAGGGGGGCTGCAAGCCTCCCCGCGTCTCTCAGCAAGCATCGGGGGCTAGCCAGTCGACCCAGGCTGCCTCCGATGTAGTTCGTGCGTCGACGTCGTCGCCCATGGAGGAGGCTGTAGAGACGATCCAGTAATGGATCGGGTCTCCAGCCTCCTGGTCCAGACGAACCTGAACCACTGTGCCGCGGCGCAGGATCTCTTCCTGCAAACCATGGCACAGTGGTCGATAGGTGTTGCCGTAGTCGCGGAGCCCTATTCTGTCCCTCCCCGTCCAAACTGGATGGGTGACTGGGACGGCTCCGTGGCAGTCGTCGGTTCCACGACGGCTCATTCCCCGCCCTTGTCGCTAAGAGACAAGGGCACTGGATATGTTGCCGTCGAGTGGGGGGGGATCACCATATATGGTGTCTATTTCTCCCCCAACCGGAGTTTGAACGACTTCGAGGTTTTCCTAACCAGCTTGGAGACCTCGATACGGCGACTAGAGTCTGGGCACGTCCTTGTGCTGGGGGACTTCAACGCAAAGTCCATTGCGTGGGGTTCCCCCAGGACGGACGCCAGGGGCGAGGCCGTAGAGGAGTGGGCGGCCTCGGTGGGCCTCTGTCTTCTAAACAGAGGCTCCACCAACACGTGCGTGCGACAGCAGGGGGGGTCGATAGTGGACCTCTCGTTCGCTACCCCTGCCCTCGCCGCACGAGTAAGGAACTGGCGTGTCCTGGAAGAGGTTGAGACGCTCTCGGATCACCTGTATATCCGATTTGAGCTCTCCCGGACCCAGGACTCCAGTAGGGGTCACGTGGCGCGGCGTTTATCCCGCTTTCCGCGGTGGGCTGTTGCCAGGCTGAACCGGGACCTACTAGAGGAGGCAGCCATAATTCACTCGTGGCTGTCTCCTCAGGCTCCGACCGAGGAGGTCGACGTGGGGGCTGGCCGCTTTCGCGATGCGATTACGCATGTATGCGATGCGGCCATGCCCCGCGTTCGAGGTCGTCGGCCTCCAAGGAAGGAGGTCTACTGGTGGTCCCAGGAGCTGGCGGACCTCCGTGCGGCCTGTACACGTGCCCGGAGGTCCTACACGCGCAGTCGGCGGCGTCACCGTGGAGACGGTGAGGAGGACCGGCTTCATGAGGAGTACCGACGGGCGCGGAAAACTCTGAAGCTGGCCATTAGCCGCGCCAAAGAGGAAAAAAGACAGGAGATGCTGGAGGGTCTTAATCGTGACCCCTGGGGTCGCCCTTACCGCGCGGTGCGACAAAAGCTCCGCGCGTCGGGCCCCCCCCCTTACGGAGACTCTCCAGCCCAGCTTCCTGCGAGAAGTGGTTGAGGGCCTTTTCCCACAACGAGCGGAACACACTCCCCCGTCGATGGCCTCCCTGGCCGGAGACGACGGGGAGCACGGGGAGGACAATGTTCCGCCCGTCCGGGATTCGGAGGTAGGGGCGGCTGTTCTACGGATCCGTTCCAAGAACACCGCCCCTGGGCCAGACGGGGTACCGGCCCGAGAGCTGGCCCTGGCCCTCAACCACATGGCAGACCGCCTCGGGGAGGTGTTCGA